GTCAGCAAACTTCTTTTCTCTTTGTCTTCCCTCATGCTCAGGCTGCACAGGGTAACCGTGTCCTGGGAACTGAAACCACAGGTACTCTACCATCGACTTCCACCATGCCTCTGGACTCTTGCTTATCTCATTCCTGTGCTCTTTCACAGTGGTATTAAAAGATAGGCTCGTTTGCATTTAGAACATACCCTCGCTACCATAGACCCTGCTACCTAACCCTGGGCAATGGCTTAATCTCAAACTTCCAACCAGGGAATCAGAGAAAATCTAAAACAGATTATGCATACGAAGTGTGGATCGCAAAGAGTTTGAGCAGGTGTGTCCCCTCTAAAAGTCATGTTGAACCTGAATCCTCAGTGGAACGCATATTGAGATTCAGACTATGGGAGGTGATTGAGTCATGAGGACTCCACCTTTGTGAATAAGATGATACCTGCATGAAAGGATTCACACTTGAAGCAAACGCTTCCTTGCTTGCCCTTCCAGTCTTCCACAGCCCCAACCTGGACCTAGAGACCATCCCTCCCAGACATGCTGGCACCTTGGACTGTCTTGCCTCCAGAGTCTGCAATTCAAATCTCTGTTCTTCATAAATCACCCTGTTTCAGACATTTGTCATAGTAGCATGGATGAATAAATGGAAATACTGAATAAAGGTGGTTCATGTTTTTCTTCCCTGTCCCTAAACTCCATATTCTTTCCATTTAATACATATCCATGTTCATATATGAAAACAGGGCAACATCTGTTCTGCCTTCCTTGTGACAGTCCCATCATATATGTTTTGCCTTCAAGGAATGAGATACTCCCCCAGAAAATAGCACCGACTTCAACTCTAATGTAGCCATAGTCCCAAATAACTGGAGTTTGTAGTTGTATTACAACTTCTCAAGTTTTGGATAGAAGAAAAGAGGGGCTGGAGGAGCTGGAGAGGTGGCTTCGCGGTTAAGGGCATTTGTTGTTCTTGCAGAGGACTGGGGAGGGGGGTCAGTTCCCAGCAGCTGCCCGGTTGCTCACAAGCAGCGTAACTCCAGCTCCTGGGGACTTGCTACTCTCTTTCGACCTCTGAGGGCACCAGGCATGCATGTGGTGCACATACATGCGTGGAAGAAAACACACTCAAACACGTAAGAATAAAAAGGAGGAGTGGGGGCTGGAGAAATGGCATTTACTGCCCTCAAGGACCCAAGTTCAGTTCCTGCACCCATATCCGACAGTGTGCAATCACCTGTCTCTTCAGCTGCAGGAGGCTTGAACACTTTTGGTCCCATAAAGCACCTTCAGTCAGGTACACATACCTGACTACGCACAGACGCACTCCTATCTACTGACACATAATTAAAAATAACAAACAGTAATCTTTTTTTTTTTTTTTTTTTTTTTTTAAGGGAAGGCAGTCACACACTTGATAGTGTGGAAGACATTAAAAGAAAACAGCAGATGGCAGCACCGGATGCTAGTGATGTGCCTGAGGAACTTTCAGTTGCAACCTGAGCCCTGAGGATGCTGAAAGTACTCAGAGCCACATTCAGAGAGGCAGCCTTCTGTAGAAAAGATCGTGTCCCTTATTAAACATAATCTCTGCTTTGCAACGTGAGACATGATTTTTAGAAATATTTCTTGTGTTGCCAACAAAATCCTATGACAATAACTACCTAGCTTTACCTGGTTAAGGTCTTTGGGCAAAAACTGTATTTGCATTTATAATTATGTGTTTCACTATCATCCTGTGCTCCGGTGAGGACTAAAACTAAAGACTGTGACAACCAGCTTCTAAAAATTGTTAACAATTCTCTTTTAAAATAAGAAATATCAGCAGGGTGCAGTGAGCATACCTGTAATTCCAGCACTTGGGAAGGCAGAGGCAGGCAGATCTCTGTGAGTTCAAGGCCAGCCTGGTCTACAAAGCAAGGATACTCAAGGCTACACAGAGAACCCTGTCTCCTGTCTCGAAAACCAAAAAGAAACAAAACAAAACACCAAGTAAAATAAAATAAAATTAGGAATAACAATGGCCTCTATTATATTCTTCTGCAGATAGCATAGAAAATGACTTACAAAATGAATATCAGAATAGTACACAATAGTAAAAATCAAAATAATCCCTATTTTTTCCCAGACTGTGCATCAAAACTTCATATGAAGCTAACAACAATGTTTAAACTAGGTGCAGCTCACCCAAGCTTTTCTTCTTTTAGAGGAAGGAAATGCCCCAGTGCTGGTCGTTATAACGCAGAGCTAGACTATGATGGTCCCGCAGCAATCAGCTTTTACATAATTCCACACTAGGGTTTTATTCTCCTTAAACCCTGCTGGATCACTTTACAACGTTTCTGTGAGATCACAAAACATAGCTTTGGCCCTGTATTTCAGCAGCAGAGCTGAAAGCAAGATGCCCAGTTTAGATATCACAGGAGAGCTTGCCTCACTGGCCTCTGTTTGTTTTTTTGTTTGTTTGTTTGTTTTTGTTTTTTTGTTTTTCTTTTCTCTTTGATTGACAGTGAACAAAAACTGGAGCATCATAGGACCCTTCTACAGTAGCAGGGCATTCTGAACAACACTGCACTCGGCCAGCAAAAGTCACCGCCACCCCGTTGGAGCAAACTGTTTTCCCAATACTGTGACTGTTATTGAGAACATATTTTTTCCTCTCTGGAATTCAGGTTGAGCCCCTTGAGAATATCAGGCAAGATAGCTGATGCTAATCCAAAACCAGATCAAGAATTCCAGAGTGAAACTGCTCTAACTGACAAGAGATAGAGATGAAGCAGGCATCCAAATTGTAAAAAGCTACGCACTTCAGTCAGCCAAAAGTCAGCCGTCACAGGCAGATTCAGCTCCAGAATCTAATGATGTATAGGTCAGCGTTCTTTATGAAAAACAAGTGACTCACCGCATGAAGCTGTAGATGGTGTAAGGAGGCTAAAGTGTCTACAGACGGGATCCAAGGAGCAAACTGAACTGGTGAGAAATGGCTTTCTGCTGAGTGTGACTTGAAAGCAATGCCTGAGGGAACAGAAACCGTCCATCCCTTCCAAAAGAGCTTTAGGAAAGTCTAAAACCTGCTCCATACTAATACACCCAAGCTTGCCTATGACCTCTTGGTTCGATGACCTTTCAGTGTCTTTATGGAGGCCTGTGTGGTTCCCAAATATACCCGTGCACGGGGAACAATGGTGGACGCCACTCTCCCACTGACACATGGCAGGCGAGGCCTAGGAGGGTTTGAGTGTACACTAGCAACACCCAGACTTCTAGGGGGCCTCCCCATATACATGCAGCCATTGTGGAGAGACCACCACTGGCTCCTGCTGATATTTCCTCCTCCAGAAAGCTGGGTGGATGAGGAAGGTGTCTTTCTGCAACACCAGGGGCCCAGTCAGTTGGCCTAAAAGCAGCTGTGACTGAGAGAACACGCCGTGCTCAGCCTGTTGGCTCCGGTCGTGGAGCACAAAGTATATGTTACAAGAATTCTGATCCTTCCCCCTCCTAGCTCTAGGTCTGTAATGAGAACGTTCAGAGTAAACGCATGCAATCAAGAAGTGCGGCTGTGAGTTAGAAAGAAGTTCTGGGAGGGTTGCTGATTGGCTGTCCTGAGTCACAGATCCTTTTCCTCTCTGAGTCCAGACCCCACACATCTTGGCAGAAAAGCAACAGGAAGAAGATGGGAAAAACAGATCAGGGCTATGAGACCAGCTTGAAGCCCATGCCACGCTACATCAGGCAGAGAAATCTAGCCGTCTTGATTTTTTTTTTTTCTTCAGTATTCAGTAGGAAATTGTCCAGCATGTTGGTCTGACTCCTCTGCTCTAGGACCACTGTCATGGGATCTTCAAAACTAGTAAGTCCATGATTTCTTATTCATGGAAATTAGGAAAGAAGGACTAGACAGTTCTCAGAGTAATAAAAAATAAAAAATAAAGGCTAGAGAAATTAGAACACAATAAAAGATCACTCCAGTTTAATAACAGTTCAAATTGCTCTTATTGCCTTAAACTATTCAATTTATAAACTGTATCTGGCTAAAGACTGCTGTCCGGAGACTGTGGTTGGGGGCTTTAAGCATGCTTGAAATTCAAATAGCCCCCAGAAAAGACCACCTCCCATTCCTTACAGGTTGACGTGTAAGATGTGACAAGCAGTCACATCTGTCCCTCTTTCGTGGCAGGGCATGCACCGTGTCCCCTTGTCCAACTGGCCACCCTCATAAGAATCCCCGCCCAACGCTGCTCTTGGTGAGAGCCCAAGTTAAAGACCAGTAATGTTAACCTTATAAACTGACAATACCTGGGTTCGTGCTTGTTTAGAATGACTGCAGTGGGGGACAGGAGCCTGGTAGAGAACCACACAGGACTGAGCATTTCCCAGAACCATGCATGCCTATCTAGTCACTTCAGAACCTAATCCCCCCCCACACACACATACACACACACATTTATAATCAAGTATGCCTTCAACAAAATCCCACTGCAGCTGCAGAGCACATACACTTAGCAAGGGCTCCAGTGTTTAATTATTGCTAAAGTCATTTGGGGTTTTTGACACAGATTCTATTTTAGTAAGATAAACTCAGCATAACCCACCGTTGCCAAAAACGAATTCCTAAGGTGGATGACTAAAATAAACCAGCAATAAACATTGGCGGTTGGAATGGGAATTATATCTCTGTAATGTAGACACAGCATTAATGACTCATTTTAAGTAACAGTCTCTCCCAGGGATTACTGGGATGAGGGATCAGAGAGGTAAAAAAGTCCATCACTCTTAGGCCATAGGACTGAGGAGGATTAAGAACCAACCAGGCAAGGATGTTGTTAGGTCAACTTTGCCAAAAGAGACACAGCCCTGGAGTCCAAAACGAGATCGACTCGAACACAAGTAAGGCTTTGAGAGAAACCTTCCTTGGGGCTGAGCTGGCTGCCTCTGGGAACAGTTTTCTCATCTCTTTGAAGATGCAATGTCCCCAGTCCACCTACTACACCTTACACGACACCAGTTACCTTGTCCTCATTGGGTGCTGCCATGTTCCTTTGTTGCTTGGAATTAGTGGGTACATTTGCACCACCTTTCATGTCCAGGTTCGAATTTGGAATTTTTGATCTACTAGGTTGAGATTTACAACTTCTCTGGTGTACAGGTAGGCGGTCCAGGGCAAAGGTCCGGCCACAATTTGGGCAAGGCACAAGCGCGGCTTGACCCGGTCCCTCTTGGCCGGGCTGTCCGGTCGGAAGGGGTTGAGGCTTCTGGGGCAGAGGCCGACGCAGCTCTCCAGGAAGCCGGTCATTCTCAATTTTCCACTTTTCCAAGCATTGGGGTTCATGGATAGGAAGAGACAGGGTGCCAAATTCCCTACCACAGATGTAACAGAGGAGAGTCCTTGGTCGGACTGGAGTGCCGCTAGAAGCTTTCTTGAGACCAGTAGGAGCATCAGGAACATCCATGTCTGATGTTCTCCTACCCTTTGGCTTGCAGCTTCTCTGGTGAACCAGGAGACTATCCGGCAAGAACGTGCGTCCACAATAGTCACAAGCCAGCAGCTGAGCCTGCGCGCTCTGAAATGCCTCCTCATTGGCTGCCTGAAGGCTGTAGGACTCGCTGCCACCAACGGGCTGTGGTTTGGAGGGTTCTGGCCTCCTCAGGTGCTTGGGTAGTTTGCTGTTCTCAATGCGCCACTTCTCCAAGCACTGGGGCTCATGAATGGCGATTGACTGGGACCCAAATTCCCGGCCACAGATGTAGCATATCCGGAACCCTGGCCTGCGCGCCGGAATCACAGGGGGTCTAGGCTGGCTTTCTGACATAATTCTACTTGAGCGTTTTGATAGTATCACTGTTCCGGGTCTTCTTTTCTGAGCTTTGGCCTGTACGTTTTCCGTCAGTTCGCCACACCGTGTTTCCAGGGGAAGGGTTGAGTGGGAGCCACTAGACAGGACCTCTTGATGGATAAGGAAGGTGGGTTCCTTGGAGCGCTGAGACTGGCTGGGAATCCTTTCATTTCCTCTTTCCATGAACAGAGGAGGCTTTCTCTAGCGCTTGCTGGAGCTCAGGCCACACTGCTTCCGGGTTGCTGCTTAGCGTGAAGGTTAGAGATGCGGCCTGTTCTGGGCTTCCACATTGTTGCCAGTGCCCGGGTCAGTGACTCAGAGCTTCACTGTAGGCAGCAGTCTGGAGTGTTGGAAAGTCCCCCATTAAGCCTCAGATGTCTCCCAAGATCTGTAAAGAACAGGGTACATAAATCAATGGGTTACTACACAGACAGACAGACAGACACACCCACACACAGGCACACACGCCTGCGCGCACACATACACACACACACCCCTTACATAAAAGACAGTATTTTAAAATTGGGCATGTAGTCTCTTTGGCTAGCTTAGAAAACAGTACATTAGAAATATTCAAGAAACAAGTGTGTATAATTCGTTTAGAAACTGCAGTGTACTGAAATTAGAAGAGTAAAATTATGCACAAAGAAGGCTGAAAATGGCATCTCATAGACATGGGTGATGCAAACTAACAGGGTGAGTCCAGGAAGAGAACTGAAAACTACAAAAGTTAAAGGAATCAAGAGACCCCACAACTGTTGTGACCCCACAAGCTCCCTTCCTTCAGATTCTTAACCCTTCAGTGCCCTAAACCCCTTTGATAACTGAAAACATCAGGCTTCTCAGAATTTTTTTTTTTTAAACAGCAAATGATTTTTTTTTAGCACTAAAGGTAAAACAAATTCTGTTGAAATGGGTCAAATATTTGAGGCGACAGTACCCATCGAAACATAAAGCATCAGACGCTTCTTGAATATTCGTGGACTTGAAGTGAAGAGCCTGGATGAGATCGCTGCATATTTTCCTTGGGATGAAGATGCTCAAGTGTCACCTGATGCTCTTTTACTGCACATCATATGTATTTTGTTTTATACATGTATGTTTGCCAACCAGTTTTTGTAAAGAGAGGGAGAGACAGGGACATAGTCGCTGGTTTTCTCAAACAAAGTAGGAGAAACACCTGATAGGCTAATGAGTCTCATTATGGGCAGAAGCATAAGGCGTTATTATCTTGGGGGAAAATCATGAGTAAATTTTACTGTGGGTTAACCACCTAATTAGAAACAAGATTGTTTTCAGAAATCTGGGGTCCTCTTTCATTTCCTGGGTCACCAAGTCAGGCTTGGATCTCGAAAGCAGCCATTTAAATCCCAGATCTGAGGCTTTAGCACACGTCAGCAAACACATGAGCTCAGACTGGTAATATAAAAACCCCAGGTGTAAGGTTTATAAGGGACGAAAAGAACTGTGAGAGCTGAGCTCCTGTATTGTGGTGCCAAGAAAGGCCTGAATCTTTGTAGTTTAGAGGATCAGCTCAGGTCTGGCACAGAGAAGGGGGTGATTCTTCATTCTGACAGCTCCTGAGACAGCGATGCTAAAATGTGCAACAAAAGAATGTGTTGGCCCAAACAGAGCGGCCAGCACAGAAAATGAAACTCAGAAAAACGGATCATTTGCTCAGTACCATTAGCAGAGATCGTTGGACTCCGGAACACACTGAGCATATTTATCAGCATGTGGGTAAAAGTGCCCGGAGCCACTGACCACTCTGACCTAGTTATCCATTTCCCCTGATACCAGAAAGTTACAGACACTGAAAATAGTGAGAGATTAGGAAACTCAATACAATAAATAGGCTCCTTTCCTTTAAACTGATTGTTTGTCTGTCTCTTTCTCTGTACCTCTCTTCCCCACACATTTGCACGCACGCACGTGCACACACACAAACACACACACAGACACATGAGTCAATAGTAGAATACTGAGAAAGTGCCACGAACTACGAGAACCCCTTTATCCCTGTTCTCATGAGGTTACACACTAACTTTAGTGAGTGCCAAGTGTGGGCCAAACGCTGAACTAGCTGTCATGTACAGAATTCGGTTAATTCTGATACTGTTAATTCTGAGGCCAGATACTATTATCCCACTTTACAAACAAGCTGTAACTCAGAAAAGACAAGCAAGTTTCCCGAGACAGTTTCTAAATGACAGAACTGGGGTTCGATTCCAGTTCTCACTGGCCCCACCGTGCACCCCTTTCCATTATTCACTCAGCCTGAATTCCATGGAGATTCTTCCTCTCTGTTTCCATCCCTGTTTTAATGCTCTATTTCTATGCCTCCTGGGCAGGCGATTAAGCTCTCTCCACCCTCTGTGCTCTCTTTGGGAGAGTCAAAGGGAGGTGGGAGGAGAGAGCGCAGATGGAAAAAACAGAACAGGGAGACAAATTCTCCCAAAGACGGCGATGTTCCTTAGGAGATAGGATTTTTTTTCCAGCAAACATGGTTTGTTAAATCTTTCTTCTGATTGAAGTGCAACACATCCTACCAGCCTCCTCAGGCTCAACTGGGCAGAGGAAGTGCAGCATGTGGGGTAGAGGCGTGTGAGAAATGACCTGTTTGTTCTGTCTTTACAATAGACCATGAAGACTACTCAGTGAAGCCAAATGCCTGTTGTTCTGCCTCTAACTGCTGTTCTGCCCCTGGCTGCTTTGCCAACCATCCTTACTGTTCGAGAATGCCTGTGCGTTGCAAACATAGTCTCTGCAGCAAAGCGCAACAAAGCGCCTGAAAGTTCCTGTTTTAATCATTTGTCCCTCTCCTACAGACATTCCTTACCACAAGTGAAGGTATGAAAATAAAGAGGAAGAGGTACCTGGAAGTGAGTGAAACGAGGGGGAGCCTAGGAACAGTGCATACCATGCCTGCCGCTGTCTCTGCCAAGGCAGTGTGCCAGGCAAGGATGGTTGGTTGTTTGACACTGTAAGTTGGTCATTAAAGCGAAAATGCTAGAAACACCCAATACATATTCTTAATTTATGTAAAGAAGTTGGCCTGTCACCCAGACACATCATGAGACAATGTTGTTAGCACATAAGGAGAAGCACTTTGCAAAGCCAGCCAGCTCTACCCCAAGCATTTATGGACATGTGCCTGAATTAGGCACAGCTTAACTGTATTTGCAAATTGAACACTTAAGGAATGCCTTGTAGTGATCACATTTTTTAAAATCAAGATTATGCCTTTTATTTCTACTCCCTTTAGGGTTCATGAGATGGGAGAAACAAACACAAATTTGAATGTAATGACTGTGGGAATCAAGAGTCCATTTCTGCTTTAGCCGATGTTCTTTAAAAGAAAAGCTATAGAACACAACCAAAAATGGGATCAAGTCTTTTAGAACTATTTTAATCCTTCAAAATAAATATAATTATCACATGAGACAACCCTTTTTTTTTGTAAATATAGAATTCAAGTTCTTCAAATGGAACAAAAATATAAGAAAAAGTTGAAATTCATCCTGAATAAGCACAATTCAAGGGCAAAGAAGGTTTGTTGTGTCTTTGACCCTGTTCAGCAGCCTTCATTCTCTCTAGCATCTTCTGTGACTACAGTCTCCTAATGTACTTGCTTGTCTTTCTTACCTGTGAAATCTTGCTTTTCAAAGGAAGCAAATATAGCCACTTACAGAGAGGCTTGTGGAAGGTGAGGTAACATCCCTTCCAAAATTTGATGGAGGTAGCTTGTTACTTTCCAAAAGCCATACTGCCCAACTCCTCTGGTTTATGCAGCCCTAATTTTAGCTGGGCAGGCTTTTCAGCTAAAAGTGTGTGAGTTCATTTGCAGTTAGTGGGTAACTGATGGATCTTGAGATTTTTTTTTTTCAGATAGGTTTTCAGCACGTATCACAGACTTGCTGTAAACCCGTGATCTCTTGCCTCCACTTTCCAAGTGCTAGGATTACAGGCACTGTTGTTTAGGAAATCCATATAATGTCTGGAAGCCTAGCAGCCATCTTGAATAGTGTGGAAGCCAAGCAGCCATCTTGAATAGTGTGGAACCCAGCAGCCATCTTGACTAGCTTATAGCCATGTTACAGTTGATATGACTGTGCACAGACATGAATGAACTTGAGTCTCTGTTAAGTTTAAAGCTTACTACACAAGCTCTCGAACACTTTTCTTAGAATTTATTTGCACGAGACAAATGTCCATTTGTATATTTTATAGGTTTCTCACTTATGAAACCCTAATAGTAATTGAGATCATATTTGTAATTTCATAATGGTCATTACACTTAGCTATAAATGGAAGATGTATATCACCCTGCTCCTCCACCCCATCAAGGCTCACAAAATCTTGTGAAAGAGGGGCAGAAAAACGTATGAACTGCAGATTAGGGAGGAGTACTGTGAACTGCTGTCCTCTGGACATGGCCTGGCTGCTGCGTATGTATCATAGCAGCTGTGATTACATATACAAGAGCAAGTCAGATAAAAATTCCAGCATGGAGGAGGGAGGGAATACTGAGGTCCCACTCTAGCTGAGAGACTATTGGCAGTTGAGGGAGGGAGAGTCACTTTTCTTTAGAAGTGTGACTCCTGGTAGGTTGCCCATGCCTCTAATCGATGACCTCACATCCATGTGCATTTAGGCAGTACTAACTGGATTCAGATGGCTAAAATAATGATGATAATGAGGAGGAGAAGGAGGAGGAGGACACAAAGTTGGAAGGGAAATGTACTTGAGGTCCCAAGGGAATTGGAGGAGTAGAGTCTAGGTGGAAATTACCAAGATACAGTTTTACATGTGTGAAATTTTCAGATAGTAAATAACACTATTTAAAATGAGTTCTAGTGATGTTCTTTCAAATTTCAAAATCTTTTTAATAAGATAATCCAAGGGATAGGATTCCCTTGTTCAGTGCAAAGATAACTTAGTAAAATATATAATTTTTCCTGAAAAATCAGATGTGAAGTTACTCTAAACTATAAATATCAAATCAATGGTTATTTCTAAAAATTTATTCATACAACTTCATTTCCTAGAGATATTTTTCTAGAAAATTGTTTACTGACATTCTTCTTCAAGTAAACAAAAGCTTACTTTTCCCGTGAACTTCTTAAAGAAGTAGGAGGGATGATTATTGGGCCCTTTATTGACTTAGTGTCTGCTCTCCCATCCTCTCTTCTCCACTCTGCTCCTGATGCTTTTTCTGAGACTGCACAGCCCATGGGGACTCCATGCTGTGATCTGCAGTTGTACCAATCAAAGAAGAACACCAGGTTGAAGTGGTGGAGGAAGAGCCAACATGCTCATTGTTGACTGTTGGGAACATGCAAAAGAAGCTACCATTTCATTTCCAGATTCCATTTAATCATAGGGAGA